CACTGAACTCTGGGTCACAGCTTTACCCACTTTCTGGGGTAGCCATTGTTTCCTTAAAACGCCATGACTATAAGATTTTGTGTATAGAACACTTTTGCTGAATGCTTGGGGGATGCTATAGGGAAGTTAAGCATTCACAGATTGCTTAATATATAACTATTATATAATAGTTTATTTTTACATCACTTTGTACTTTTTTTTTTCATCTCAATTGTAATCCCCGTGGGTTTCCCATCACCAAGTCACCCATGTGCCATCACCATAGTCCAGTGCACTTCCCTCCCCTGCCACCCGATTTTTGATCCCATTCCCCACTCCACCCCCACAAAATGTCTCTGGTATATGGCTGTTCATTATTCATATTATTTTCTCGCCCGGTCCATTATACTCCTGTTATGAGCGAAACCATCCGGTATTTTTCTTTTTCTTTCTGGCTTATCTCACTAAGCATGATCTTTAGGGAAAAAGCTTTTAAGTATTCGGTGTTGTTTTGAAATCAGCTGCTAGCAGTCTTCTCACTGGAATGTCTAGCTGGGTAAGCCTTCTTGCCTTAGGTTGCTGTCTTTCACTTACTAGTCCACCTTTTTCTCTGGAGTTCCCATAGTCCACTCTAAAATTCTATCAATTTCTTAATCAGCAAACTTAGCTCTCTGATGCCTTATATCAAGGCCATGGCCAAAGGCTCAATTAGTTGTTTATAATCACAAAAGAGCTCTGAGTCCTCTGAAAGGAATGTGAAATTAATTTTCTCTTTCTTAATTAGCCTTTTCCTCCATGTCATATAGTTAAGGCTTAAGAAAAGATTCCCAAGAGGCAGTAACTTGGGGGAGCCTTCCTGGTGGTGCAAGGGGTTAGGTCTCCACACTGTGTAGCTGTCTGCAGCTACTGCAGCAGGAGTTCAATCCCTGGCCAGGGAGCTGACCCACATGGCTTGGCAGACCTCTCCTGTTCCACCTGCTGCTCAGCAGTGTATTTCAGTAGATTCACCTGTTCTGCTCCCAACTCTGTCTCTAGTGCATCCTCTCCCCCCACCCACCCTACCCCACCCCACCCTGCACCTCTAGCCTGCACCCCAACTCTTGTATGGTCTTGAAACACAGAAACAAGGCCCTGTGGCAGGAAAAGTCTGGGAAATAATGAAGAGCATCTTGGGGGAGAGATGCCAAAACTGAAAAGACAAAAATTCTTTTTTTTTTTAAGATTTATTTAATTGTGCATACAGAACTGGGGTACAGGCCAGAGGCTCAGGGGCGGCGAGAGACAGAGTGGGGAGCAGAACAGGCAGATCGACAAAGTACACTGCTGAGGGGAACAGCGGGCGGGTCAGGAGAGGTCTGCCACGCCATGTGGTCACCTCCGGGGCAGGCGGGAATCGAACTCATGCGGAAGTGGCCTTAGCTTCTCAATGTTGTACTTTAACCCGCTGCGCCACCAGGGAGGGCCTGAAAAGACAAAAATTCTTAAGGCCGGGCTTCTAGCATCCAGAGTTGATTCTTGATCCAAGGATCATGTGCAGCGATGAAAGGATTTTAAACAGTGCAAGAATAAAAGCCAGTCTAAGCTTTAGAAAAAACCACTGCCAGCTGCAGGAATAGCAAACTTAAAACAGTGACAAAGGTGTAGGGACATATAATGCTGTATATGTTGCTAGTGATCTAAAAGGAACCACCATTTGGAGAGACACTCAGCAGTGCTGGGAAAGAGATGGAGACAGAGAACCCAAGCACCGAGAACCACCTGTCCTGGACCCTCATACTGGATAAAATGGGGAGATGGAGGGCACAGGGGTGGGCTCCAGAGAGCCCCTCTTCCCAGATTACTGATTTGTGGAATCACCTTACTCACTTAAACCTGGCCATGGAATTTACACCACAAAAAGCAGCAAGTGCCCCACCCAGAGGAGAGTTTGCTGCACACTGCTGCCTGGGCCAGTCCTCTTCCAGCAACTCTCTGAGGCCTCTGAGAAACACCTGCACTGGTAGGCGGGGGCTTCAGCCTACACCCCCACAGAAATACCTAAATTTGCTGACTATAAAGAGCTTAATGGATTGGCCAAAGTGTAGGAAGACCTACGTGTTCTCCTTTCACCTAGCTCTAGTCCAGCTTTTGCTTAATATTCTAAAGAAGTAAAGGATGGGGGAAGGCATGGCACATCCTTCCAACTGTATGGAAGAAAAGAGAAATAGAAAAATGACAAGAACAGAAAGTTGGACTGCCTTCCATTCAGGAACAGAAAGCCCCATTTCAACTCTTTTATGGTCATAGAGAAGTCCCCTATCTCTTAGACTTTTTTTTTTTAAGATTTATTTATTTATGCATACAGAACTGGGTGCAGGCCAGAGGTGCAGGGGTGGATTCACCAAAGACAGAGTGGGGAGCAGGGCAGATTGACAAAGTACACTGCTGAGGGGAGAAGCAGGCAAGACAGGAGAGGTCTGCTGCACCACGTGGGTCACCTTCCTAGCTGGGGATCAAACTTGTGCTGAAGCAGCTGTAGATAGCTTCATAGTGCTGGGCCACCAAGGAGAGTCCTCTCCTGGACTCTTAACCACTGTTACACTGCCTCCTGGTAGACGTGATGCAGATGTGAAGAGAGACAGAAGATTTGAGGATAACATTCAGGTTTCTGGCTAAGATGCCCAGACAACCTATGGTGGGAGGCAAAACATAGGAAGAGAAGCTTCAGAAGGGTACATGGGACTTAGTGATAGTTCCATTTGGACCTTGAGTTTCGCAGTGCCTGTGGGACTACGAATAGAGATGTCTAAAAAGTAACTGAGAATCTGAAGATCAGATAGTTGTGGCAATGCTCATTTATAAGGAGAACTGAAGCCATGAGGTCACTATAAAGGGTGGAACAAGGATGACTAGGAATCACAACATTTAAGAGAAAGCAAAGAAAGAAACTGGAAAGGAATGTTCCAGGAGGTAGGGGGAAAAAAACAGAAGATCACAACACACTATGGAATCCAAGGAAGGAAAAGAATATATCTTAGCGAAAGGTTGAATATAAGGAATAAGATACACGCTGAGGTTATGACACAAAGAGAGTAGATGAGATTTAAATAAGCAGGGACTAGGTCTGGCAGAACTTTGTATGTCATTGTATGTATTTTATTCTGAGTGCAATAGGAGATCATCAGACGGTTTTAAGCAGGGGAGTGGGAAAAAAATCCAATTTGCATTGTAAACACCCACCCCATTACAAGGAAGATGCTAGAAGGAGTGAAGTGGGAGATTTAGGAAGATGCTGCAGTGACCCAGCCTTGGTGTAGGATGCTAGGAGCGGACATAGTAAAAAGAGTTGCGATTCAGAGCACAATTAGAAAGACTATCTGGCAGGACTTGCTAGTGAATTGAATGTAGGGTAGGGACAAGGAATTCTGAGAGTTTGGGTTTGATCAACTGAGTAGGAGATGGTGCCACCAGAGAGGTGAGCAAGACAAAAGGTTTAGGGGTAGCACCAGAGTTGAGTTTTATTTTGCCCACCTTAGGTATAAGATGCCCACTGGACATGCAGTGGAGATGCCAAGTAGGCAGTTGGAACCTGGGATAAGTCACAGCTGCAGATATCAATTTTGAAGTCATCAGCACACAGAGCACTTTGAAGTCACAAAGCTGTATCTCCTGTCTCACTTTGCCTGACAAGAAGCTGGGTGACCCTTGATTGGGGACCAGCGAAGGCACCCAAATTCATTACCGTTGGACAGAAGATGATCCTTGATCCTTGTCCCCTGAGAAATAGACAGGAATTCCTGTCCAGGATGACTTACAGAAACACGGTGCCAGGGAAGCTAAGACGCCACAGGAGGAGTGAAGGATTCCATCTATCTCTCCTTCCCCTAACCCACACTCCCATAATTCTTTCAGTAACATGAATTCCCAAAGAGGATTCAAAGGTGACGTTGAGAACACTTCATCTGTAGAGTCAACAATGGGAGCCCTAGCTGGAATGGGAGGGGCTAAACATGGGAATTAATGTGATCTGCATCCCCCCTCCTCCTCCATCCCCAACACCCTGCAAGAGTCAAAACTCCTGAGGGTTGGCATAAAAGCCACCCACATTACAGCCCAGGAGAACAGGCTTCAGGTACGTGGGATCACACCTACTATTGGCTACAATGTGAAGGAGATGAGCTTGAGCTGAAGAATGGAGACCAACCACCCCTTGGCTCTGGACCAACTACATAAAAGCATGGAAAGCCAGTGCTTCTCAAACTTTAATGTGTTTTCAAATCACCTGGGGATATTGGTATTATCAGTTCTGTTTGAGTAGCTCGGAGCAAGGCCAGATCCTGCATTTCTAAGGAGCTCCCAGGTAATTGTTGTTGGTCTACACCGCGCTTACAGTAGCAGACTAGAGCCAGCTGGGCAGGCCACCCACACAGGGAGGGCATGTTTCGTTGCAGGGAGGATGTGTTTATTGGTGCCCCGAGTCCCAGGACCTATCTAAGTGGAAATAGCCGCCATGTTGCCATGGCTGGGAGGTGACAGTCGGGACCCGGCAGGGGACACCACCACTAACGTGGCGCCACTGTTTAGCACTTGGCCTGAAGCTTGACCTCCTGAGCTTTACCCCTCGGGAGGTATTGTGGTCTTGGACAAATTTCTCTGCATTTCAGTTTCGTCACCTTTATAATGAAAACAAGACTGCTGTGAGAACTAGGTGGGACAAGCCATAGAGCGTCCTTAATAAAAGGCAGCACATGGTAAGAGCTCAGTAAATGTTGCTGTTCGTGCTGCTCATTCACCCGTCCATAATAGTTAGCATAGAGACACTCCGAGGGGTCAAAAAAATCGAAACCCCATCTCCCGCCCCTCCAGGAGGCCTCAATTTCCTCCTACCCTCCTGCCCAGTCCCACTCCCCTTCCCCTGGCCCCTGGCCCCAGTGTGGTCTGGACGGCCCCACAGGGGCAGGGACAAGGACAGGACGTGGGGCTGTATCTGACAGGAACCTGAGGGGCTGGCCCGGGAGGGGACCGGGGCCCGGCTTCCTGAAGGGAGGATGGGCCAAGGCAGGCACACAGTGCCGGAGAAGATGCCCTCCTGGGCCCTCTTGGTGGTCACCTCCTGCCTCCTCCTGGCTCCCCCAAACCTGGCACAAGTCACCAGCCAAGGTGAGGTGTATGGAGGGTGGAGATCACCTAGACCCAGGAAAAGGGAGCCCTGGGAGGGGTGCAAGGTAGGAGGCGCCCACTGGTCCCCCACACTTGCCCATAAACATGCCTGGGAGGACGCACTGCTCCACTCACCAGCTGTTTCTCAGATGCGTCCTTGCTGGCCTCGGACTCAGAGCCCCTCAACTGTTTCTCTCGAACATTCGAGGACCTCACTTGCTTCTGGGAGGAGGAGGAGGCAGCACCCAATGGGACATACCAGCTGCTCTATGCCTACCCAGGGTACGTGCTGGGCTGCACCCCACTCCCCTCCATCTGTTCTGTACTCGCCTCAGCTGCATCCCCACTGCTCGATCCCCCAGGCCCCATCTGAGGACCACTCCAGCTGCATGTCCTCAGTGGCCATCCCACAAACAGATGTGCCTCGGGCATAGATAGACCCAGCCCAAACCTTTACACCCCAATCCCACCTATCCCAAGTTCTGAGAGAAGTGTGGACATAGAAGTTGTGTTTGGGGCCCACCTGGGCAGGGTGGCCATGTAGGTAGACAGACATCTCCTGTGCCCACAGGGAGGAGCCCCGTGTGTGCCCCCTGAGTTCCCAGAATGTGCTCCCCTTTGGGACCCGATACACGTGCCAGCTTCTGGCCCAGGATGAAGTCCGCCTTTTCTTTCCATTGCACCTATGGGTGAAGAATGCATTTCTGAACCAGACTCTGACCCAGCGGGTGCTGTTTGTGGATAGTGTGGGTAAGAGCCCTGTCACCCCGGTCCCTCTATCTGCTCCCCCAGGTCACTCCTAGAGTCTTTCTGGCCTCCTCTGCCAGACCCCCACAGGTATCTCAAGGCCCCCTGACCATTCCCCATAGCCTTGCCATCTAGAGCTAGATTTCATTTCACACCAGAGACACACTGGTGTGTTCCCATCATTAGTCTGTTCATTCACTCACCTGTTCAACAGTTACCACTCACCTAGCTGGGTGTCAGGCTGTGCACTGAGGGACCAGGAAACCCATCGGAAAAGCACTCCCCGCTCTTGAGGAGCACTTGATCTAACAAGCCTGCAGTGAGGTCACAGGATAAGGAGTCTCCCTGCCACACCCCTCCCTGCCAGAGCACCATGGCCTTTCGGAACCCAGGGGCCATCCCCAAGCCAGCTCCCGGGACTCCTTTCTACAGTCCATAAGTTGGGCCCTACCCTGCCCTACTCCGAGTTCTCATGTGCCCTGTTCCACCCCTAGGCCGGCCAGCTCCCCCCAGTATCATCAAGGCCATGGGTGGGAGCCAGCCAGGGGAACTTCAGATCAGCTGGGAGGCCCCAGCTCCTGAAATCAGTGATTTCTTGAGGCACGAACTGCGCTACAGCCCCAAGGATCCCGGGAACTCCACGGGTCCCACAGTCATGCAGCTGCTGTCCACAGAAACCTGCTGCCCAGCTCCACAGAGACCAAAGCCGGCTGCAGCCCTGGACCAGCCTCCCTGTGCTCCACACATGATGACCCCACAGGAAGGACCAGAGCTGACCTCCCCAACTAGAGAAGTATTCTGGCCTTCTGCCATTCCACCTCCTACTCCCTACCCCCCCCCCCATGTTGCCCCAAGAAAGAACAGGGATACTCTGGGGATTCCAGATGGGTTGGGTTTGGGGCTCTGACTGGCGCTCAAGTCGGTCATGTCTATTGATGGAGTCATTCATGCCAATGAAGAGTTTCAGGGTTTGAAATAAATGGAGATTGCCCTAAAAAGCTCTGACCACCAGCTGAAACTGCCAACCTGGCCCCCAGCTTGTGTGCAGATCTGTGCAGTGAGGAGCTGAGCACTGCCTGTGGGGCTTCAAATTAAAGAGAGGGAGGCTGTTGGCTGGGAGGCACACCTAGAATCTGAGGCCAGGCTTCTTCTCCGAGGCTCCATCTCTGACAATGAAGGGTGGAAGCTGCCTCATCTCGGGGCTCCAGCCTGGTAATTCCTACTGGCTCCAGCTGCGCAGCCAACCTGATGGGGTCTCTCTTCACGGCTCCTGGGGATCCTGGTCCCTCCCTGTGACCGTGGACCTGCCTAGGGACGCAGGTGAGTCAACAGAGGAATGGGGGGAGGGGAAGAGATAGCAATAATCTCTTCTAAGGAGCCCTGAGCTGCATATGGAAGCTTCTTCCTTTTGACCTTGAACTTGCCACTAAACAGTGACCTATGTTCAAGGAGCAAAGAATGGGAGTAAATGTCCCAAGTCGTGTGTGTAAAGGCGACCTGGATACTCTATAGAGTAGCACGTGTGGGCTCTGATGAGCTTCCTTCTTTGACCTCAGTGGAAATTGGACTTCAGTGCTTTACCTTGGACCTGAAGAATGTTACTTGTCAATGGCAGCAGCAAGATCTGGCTGGCTCCCAAGGCTTCTTCTACCATAGCAGGGCACACTGCTGCCCTGCTGACCGGTGAGTTTAACCATGACTATGCTTGATACTACCGGAGAGAAAACTTTGCAGAGAAAAACCTTTTGCTCCGAAACATTTGTATTAAATGGCCTTCATGGTCTCATCCTCCAATGGGTATTTAGTCTTCTCAGCCTCCCTGTTTGCACTGAGAAGGCCTTGGCTTAGTTCAGCCCTAATCTTATTACCTGGGCCGGTGCAACAACCCAGTCTCCTTCCTCTCTAATTTGCTCCTGACAAGTTTGTCCCCTCTAATTTGCACTGACAGAGTGACCTTTGTTAAACACAATCTTTGCATGAACTTCCCAACTCAAACTCAAACATTTACTGCAACTTTCCATTATCCATCAAATCCAATCAAAATTTTGTCTGGATTTCTAGAATTTCCACCAAACACCATGCTGGTCTGTCACTCCTATATCCTACCTATAGCCAAGTCTTCCTGATATTATCAAATATTTCTAAAATCTTTCCACTTGTGTCACGCCCATTACCCTAGTACACTACATCATCAGCTCTCACATGGGCGTGTGGGAAGATTTACTGACTCTTGAATCTTCCAGATCATTCTCCACATGGGCACTGGAGTGATCTTTTTAAAGTGCAAAATTAAACATCACACTCCCTGCTTAAAATTCTTCAGTAGGTTGGTGATTGGAGAGCTACAGAGACCACACTTAAGGGGAGAAATCCTACACTGCCAAAATATTAACAAAGATGTAAGAACAATGGTACTTCGTTAATAAAAAATAAAGTCTTTTAAAATTTCAGCAGCTACCCATTGGTCTTACGATAAAGAACTCTATTATGGCCTTATAAAGTTCAAAAGCCTCAGCTTCATCTTATACTACATGCCTTTTCTTTTTTTTAAAGACTAATTTACTTATGCATTCAAGAACTGGGGTACAGGCCAGAGAGGATTGATGAGAGGATTCACCAGAGACAGAGTGGGCAGCAGAAGAGGCAAATGGACTGAAATACACTGCTGAGGGGAGCAGTAGGCCGGTCACTAGAGGTCTGCTGTGCCATGTGGGTCACCTCCCTGGCCGGTGATCCAACTCGCACTGCAGTGGCTGCCGATAGCTTCACAGTGCTGTGCTTTAACCCGTTGCACCACCAGGGAGGCCCTGTATGCTTTTTCTCCCCATGTCACAGTACTGGCCTCCTTTGTTTTCCTCCATATCCCCTCCTGCTCTGGGTCTTTGCACACGATGTTTACTCAGCACAGCTGTCTTTACTTAACTTTTACTTACCCTTCAGCTTTCAACTCAAATGGCACTTCCTCAGGGAAACCTCCCCTCACCTCATTGGATCCAGCCGCACTATTACACATTCTTGCTGTATCCTGTGTCTCTCCTTCAGTGCTTTTGACCATCATTATGATTTTGCACTTACACTTTATATGATTATTTTATTGGTAATAAAGTTCTTGGAACTCCAGTTGAGAGAGGCTGATCATGACTTTTGATGAGCCATGAGGGAAAATCAGTCTCTATTTTCACTCACCAATGTACTCTCACCTACCACAGTGCATGGAATAGGTGCTCGGTTGAGGAAAAAAAAAAACTGCTGCACAAATAATGGAAACCACTATGAACTGTTTTAATGTATCTATCTAGTTCTTCTATGCATTTATAATCTACACAGGATATTTAATGTTTAACATAAATTATATATTTGATTTGTTAACTTTTATTTAAAAACATGTCTTAGAGGTCATTATAAAAAGGCACAATTCATTCCTTTCAACAACGGCACAGATTTCCTTAGTAGAGGTGGCAAATGGATTAGAGGACAAAGCTGAAGCCACCATGTCCTCTACCAAAACCTGCTTGTCCTCCTAACGTCCCCCATCCTACCTCAAGGCAGTTTCCAAGCCTGAAACATATAAATCACCCTGAAGATCCAATCAGAAACATTCCTATCATTTGTCCCTCTTTAGTCGCTCTTGAATCCATCTATCCCTAATACCCTATTTCAGAGCCTCATCACTTTGCACATGGAAAACCCCAACAGTATCCTAAGGATTTCTCTGTTCCTAGACCACTCTCGCAGATCCTTTCTGCAAAAGCCCAACACTAACGTTCTTTAATTACAAAGCTAACTATGGCAATTTCCTGCTTACTATCCTCAAATGTCTCCATAATTACTACAAAGCTAAGTCCAGGCTCTTTAGAAGGGCCACATGTCCTCCCATGACATGGGCCCCTCACACTCACCATCTACCAGGCCCTTTACACTGGAAGCATTCTGCACCATTCAGAATTTCCCCCACAGCACCATATCTCTTATCTGGCCACAAGCATGTGCTTGGGATGCCTGCTTGTCCCCTTTGCCTGTCCTATTTATAGCCCAAGACTCAGGCTAAGCACTGCCTCACCCATGGAGTTTTCCCTGACCTTCCTCGTCTGGGTTAGATGATCCTCCCTGGTCCTCCCAACCTGCCTGTGCACATCCTGAGCGTCCCATCTGTTTACTCTTCTCTCTTTTCCACTGAAATGAGAGCTCTATGCACTTATAGAGCCTAGCACAGAGACTGGCACATAGTATCAATGAGTTGTTGAATAACTGCATAAATACAAAAGATGATTACCAATTTTAGAAACAGCAAGTCATTTACGGGTTATAATCAGAAAGGAGACATGATTCATTTGTTCACTGAATAATTATGGAAGGTGACTAAGTATCAGGCACTGGGAGTAGAGTGACAAATAAAACAGAAAAGTTTCCAATATTTGGGGGATTCACAGGGAGGGAGAGAAGGAGTCAAGCCAGAAACAAAGGAGGGGGCCTCCCTGGTGGCCTATGGGTTAAGTCTCAGAACCATCACGACTGTGGACTGAGTTGGGTCCCCGGCCAGGGAGCTGACCCACATGGCGTCTCCCTGTCTCCCTGCTGTTCCCCTCAGCAGTGGACTTCGTCGATCTGCCTGTTCTGTCCCCTACTCTGTCTCTGGTGAATCTTCTCACTCCCCACCCCTCTAGTCTACCCCCTGAGTTCTTACACACACACACACACACACACACACACACACACACACACACACGAGAGAGAATTGTTTAAAAAGGAAAAAAGGTTTACACCAGATTAAGTGGGAGAATGGGGGGTGGGGACACTGACTTTAGGCCAAGCAGCAGGGGAAAGCCTCACCAAGGTGGGGACAGGAAAGCTGAAACCAAAGTGACCAGGGGGAGTGAGACACATGAAGATCTAGAGTCAGAGCGATCTAGGGCAAAGGTGAAGTGCGAAAACTGCATTCAGCATATTTGTGGCACAGAAGGAAGGTCAAGGGCAGTGAAGATACACAGAAGATGAGAACAGTGCTGTATGTCGGGCCTGGACTGGAGTTTGGATTTTGTTCCCAGTGCAATGAGGAGTCACTGAAGGGTTTTAAGCAGAAGAATGACACGATATGATTTATACTTTTAAAAGATGAGTTTCTCTGTGAAATTATAAAGAATAGGAGCAGAATCACCCATTAGAAATTTGCCTTAATGCAGGCAAAAAGAATGGTGGTTCATCTAATGTGGCAATGATAAAGACCAAAATAAAGGGAGAGATTTTTCATAGGTGCTGAACATGATCAGATCAACATTTTGGAAGCAAATTCTGGTAGCCATATGGAGAACAAATTGAAGGGAGTGGCAAGCGTGGAAGCAGAAAAGCAAGTTACGACGCTGTTGTCATAATCTAATCGCAACACAGCACACAGGGGTGATTAAGAGGCCTGTTGTAAGAGAACAGATTAAAAACGTAAGAATGGCTTCTCAGAAAGAGGATGGCTCTCTGATGTTTGCGGCAATGCAAATGAAGAAACCGGAGCAGAAATCAAGTAATTTGCCACCAAGACCTTAACTCTATAGCTCATGTCATTTTCGTATATCATGCTTTAAAAAAAAAAAAGATTTATTATTTATGCATACAAGCACTGGGGAACAGGCCAGACATGTGAGGGGTGAGAAGACTCACCAAAGACAGGGTGGGGAAGAGAACAGTGAGATGTACTGAAATACACTGCTGAGGGGAGCAGCAGGTCGGTCAGGAGAGGTCTGCTGTGCCATGTGGGTCACCTTCCTGGCAGGGGATCGAACTTGTGCTGCGGTGGCTGCAGACAGCCCCACAGCGCTGTGCCTTAACCCGTTGCATCACCAGGGAGGGCCCTCATCTATCATGCTTTCATGTATCATTTCCTTAAGGGGACACCAAAGCAAACTTCAAAACACTATGGCATGTGAAGACAGATAAAGCCCGGAGGTCTACCCAAGGGAGGAGTTGATTATAACCCATGCAAGCCATGGGGAATATAGGATTAGTTCTCTCGAGCAGGTCTGATTGAATGACTTTATGGGTCGATTCTTAGGGACCCCATCTGGCAGAAGTGTGAAGAGGAGGAAATAACAAATGCAGGATTACAGCCCTCCCAGTTCTCCAGCTGCTACTTCAAGTCGCAAAATGACAGTGTTATTCACACTCTGGTGGAGGTGACCACACTGCAGGGTGCTGTTCACAGCTACCTGGGCTCCCCTTTCTGGATCCACCAGGCTGGTAAGAATGTCTTCCCTTCTTCCCTTCTCCTCTGACATAATTTCTGCTCCTACCACGTCTGACCCCATGCCCAGGATCCCTGAATGTGACTTCCCTGACCCATGGGCCCTGGTGGCATGATGCCCCGTGCACAGAAGGGCTTAAGCTATCCCCAGCTGTCCCTGCAGTGCGTATCCCCACTCCCAACCTGCACTGGAAGGAGGTTTCCAGCGGGCAGCTAGCTTTGGAGTGGCAGCACCCTGCATCCTGGGCAGCCCAAGAGACCTGCTACCAGCTTCGCTACACAGGAGAAAGCCATCGTGACTGGAAGGTACAAGTCAAGGAACAAATACCTACTGACCTCATTTCACGAGTATCCTGAGTTTCATCATGTCTGTTATCAGGAAGGAAGGTGTCCATGTATCCAGGCCTGGGCTTGTCTAGGTTTATGTGATCCAACTGGTATTTTAATCCCTCTTTGGCATCTGACTCTGTTGACTATTCCCACTGAAATGCCTCCCCTTTCTCTTTGGGCTATCAGACTTTCCTGACTCTCATACTTTGACTGAAACTTCTACCTTCCTTCCACCTTTTTTAATAGGTTGTGCTTCCCAGAGTCCAGTCCCAGTCACTTTTCTCTTCTAAATAAATATTCTCCCTTGTGAGCACTTCAATGCCATGGTTTTAACAACTAAATATGAACAATTCCAAACTTGCCACTCCAATACCCAGAGGGAAAGGAACTTATATACCACAGGCAAGCTATCTAAACTTCTGGAGTCTCAGTTTGCTTATTGGTGAAATATAAATAAAGCTATCTACTGCATAGAGTTATAGTAAACATTAAATATATACATAAACCAGCATATTGCCTGGCATGTGGAAGAGACTCTGTATATATTAGTTAATTGTTAGTTTCTTTCTCTACCTTTAGTCTCAGTTAGCAACTGAACAGACAACTCTATCTAGAAGGACCCCCCAACATTTCAGACTCAATATACCCAAAACTGAATTCATCCTTCTTCCCAAATATATTCCGCTTTTATTGAATTATATAAAATACACAAATCCTGAATATGCAACCATACAACCATTATCTATAATGATTCAATATATAGATTATTTCTAATCCCCTCGAAGCTCTTCATGCCTCCAACACCCTCCTCTCCAAGGTAACCACTACTGTGACATCACCACTGCTAAGTGTGGACTTTATAGAGAGGATCCATACCAGCGGTTCTTCCTCAGACTTTCCCTCTCCTCCCCATTCCCACAGCACCACCACTTACTCAGTTACCCAAATCTGGAATCTCCCTTAACTCTCCTTCCTTTTCCTTTGTCTCTTGTCTCCATTTATCAACAAATAAGTCAAGTTTATTGTACGAGCAGCCCACAAATCCCTACTCCATTGCCTCTGCCTACTCTTCCAGCATTCAGCCTGCTCATCCATGCTCTCAGCACAAAACCACTCTGTAACCCCAACCAAGCAATTCATGTAGAGTGAAATGTTTGTGCTCCCCTTGTCTTATGTGAAATCATTGTAGCCCTAATTACCTGCCATTATTTACTTGTTTGGGTGTTTTCCTCAGAGCCATGTGAACGACCATGTCTCTTCTCCACTAGTCCTTGGCATATGAGAAGCCATTTGTAAATATTTGCTAAATGATTAATAAAGCCTCCCCATCCCCTCTGCTTTGAATCTGTCCTTGTCTTCCCAGTGCCTAGCATGAAGCTGGCATCCTCTGCTGAATGCATGTTGTTTGTGGCATGGTCTACGTGGCCCACCTGGAGTGCTGGTGTTCGCTCCGGGTAGGATCTCCGTGTCTCCTGGTCAGCGAGTGTGCACCAGGAACTGTCTGTGTCAGAAGACATCTGCCTCTCTGTGCAGATGAGGTCTGCGTGTCAGTGTGTGTCGGGCGCGCTTCTCTCGGGCTGGGTGTGCCTCGGGCAGGGTGAGGTGGTGGTCAGGGAGAGGCTGTCTGCGGGGTGTTCCCGACCAGCTCGCGCCCGGGATGCATGTTTTGGTCTGTGGGGCTGGTGGCGGGGAGTGGGGGTGGAGACTAGGGAGAGGACACGGCGGGGCGGGGGAATCACTGGGAATTCAAAGCAGTAGGCTTTTAGTCAAACAGATGCTGGGCTCTCGAAGCCTCGGTCGCTGGCCCCCCGGCTCTTCAGCCAGCCCGACCATCCGCTCGCGGGTGCTCTGCGCAGGTGCTGGAGCCGCCCCTCGGGGCCCAGGGAGAGACCCTGGAGCTGCGCCCGCGCTCCCGCTACCATCTGCAGCTGCGCGCCAGGCTCCACGGCCCCACCTACCAAGGCCCCTGGAGCGCCTGGTCCGACCCAGTGCGGGTGGAGACCGCCTCCGAGACCGGTGAGA